ATTTGGTGCCTATATGTTTATAATTGTTATAGCTTCCTGGTGAATTGACCCTTTTGTCTGATACTCATATAGCCACCTCTGCTCTCTTTCGGTTACCATTTGCATGGAATATCTTTTTCCAGCCTTTCACTCTCAGTCTATATGTGTCCTTAGATCTAAAGTTAGTTTCTTATAGACAGCATATAGTTGAATCCTCTTTTTTATTTTATCCATTTGGCCAATCTGTGTCTTTTGATTGGGGGATTCAATCCATTTACATTTGATGTAATTACTGACAGGGAAGGACTTACTACTGCCATTTTGTTAATTGTTTTCTGCAAGTTTTGTAGCTTTTTTGTACCTCATTTCCCCTCTTCCTCCTTTGTGTTTCACTGACTTTTTTTTTTTTTTTGTAGTGACATGCTTTGATTTCCTTCTCATTTCTTTTTGTGTAAATTCTAAAGAGATTTTCTTTGTGGTTACCATGGGGATTACATTTAAAAATGTTAAAGTTATAAGAATATTTTAAGCTGATAAGAACTTGATTTGCATACAAAACTCCATTCCTTTACAGTTCTGCCCACTCCCCACTTTGTTACTGATGTCCCCCTAAGTCCCTTAGGCTCTCTTCACTTTTCTTCATTTCTCTTTGTCCCTCTGACTTGATAATATCAAATAACCTCCAAGGTTACTAATAGTAACTCTAAAGTTATTGATAGTATCAGTAACTCTTCAAGGTCACTGATTAATTCTTCTCTGATCAAATCTCCAGTTGAACTCTAGTTTTTTTTCCTTAATTCAATTATTGTATTCTTCAGCTCCAGAATTTGATTTCTTCTTTATTCTGTCTCTTTAGTGACATTCTCATTTTGTTCATGCATCATTTTCCTGATTTGTCAGTCTCGTTCTTTTTTAGTTCATTGAGCATCTTTAAGACAACTGTTTAAAATTCTTTGTTAGGTAAATCAGATTTCCGCATTGCTTTAGGGTTGGTTTCTCTAGGTTTGTTTCTTAGATTTTGCCACATTCTTCTGTTTATTTATATACCCTGTGAACTTTGTTGAGATTTGGGCATTTGAAAAATAGCTACTTCCAGGGACGTATCTTCTTTGGGCATGTGTGTATGCTTTCATTCCAAGATATATATCTGCTTTTAACTGTCTTAATTTCCTTGTCTCTGTTTCTTCTCAGGAGCTTCCTGTTCCACTTTCTATTTTATTCCCGGCTGTACTCTTGGATCTCCTGTACCTGCCTACAGAACTGTAGACTCCCTGCTGCTCTAATGCACCTCTACGCTCACTTCTGTTTTCAGTGGCCCACAACCAGCATCCAAACCATGCTACCACTCCCACTAGTGCTCCAAGTCAGGTGAGACAGAATTCAGTCCCTCAAACAGCCCCCAGACAAGCCTGAATACTGGACACAAGTTCACCTTCTTCCTTTCTGTCCTGAGGGAGGAGCCACGAATTGGGGGTTTCCTCTCAATTGCATCATGCTGTGCCAGGCAAAGGGAAGGGCTAGGACAAGCAAAATGCCCCAAATTTTCTTAACACCTTTTGGTGCAGCCTTCTCCTGGTTTTGTGTTTGCCTGAGCTATAGCTTCCCAAGGGGTTTCTAGAGTTCTCACAAAGGTATTTTGGTCCTTATATTGTTGTTAGCTCAGTGTCTCATGGGGAACAAGGACCTGGAGCTTCACTGGTGATGTCACTCCCCACCTACCTGCCTTTTGCTTTCCCTTGATATTCACTAGTCACAAATATGTGACAAAATCTGAGTATCTTAATGAGTGAAATGTGCTTGGAAAACATGCTTATCCAACAAGTTTTATTTATTTACTTACCTACCAATGGTCTGTTATCAAAATAATTTGAAATACGTAAACCATTAGAAGAATTAAAAATTTCTTAACTCTTAAATGAATTTTAAGTTAAAAATATCACCATTATTTATATGAAGTTAACAATTGTGGTAAATACATAAATGTTTAGAATTTAATCTCATTCTTATAGTAAGAGATACTGAATTAAGTTTCATCTAATAAAAAAGTTCCCCAATTTTTACCAAAAAACTGATTTAAAAATTGAATCTTGGAAACCTCAACCAGAAATCTATTCATGATTATTTAAGAAAAAAAATTCCTCTTGTGGGGGAGAGTTTTGGTATTCCATCGTGTATTCTATTTTACCATCCCCAGTTATTTTGGAAACTATTAGTTTCAAAGATTATAGTGACATTAGAAATCCTGTGTGTTTAGTTTTGAGAAAACATTGAGTAATAAGAAACACCTGTTAAATGGGAGGTACTGAAACATCAACTTTGTATCACAGGCATGCCTTTATTACTTTCGATATAAGCACACTTTCTTACTCATTAAAATTTCAAATCATGATTTGTAAGTAGTTTATAAGCTTCAGTGAAAGAAGATAATGAATTCAGTTTATCTTGTTTTGTGATCATCCTACTACTGATTAGAACCTCTATTAGAAATTTTGTATTTTCAAGAGCAAGTGCAAAGAACAAAGAGCAGAAGCAGAATGAGTAAAAATTTAACTAAATCCAGTGCAACTTTACTTGTTGGATTCATCTGTATTGCTATGATGAAAAAACCCAGCAGCAGACAGAAAAGGGCAGAGGTATGATGCAAATTCAATGGGTAAGACCATTTGTATATTATTGTAAGCTGTCTAGAAATGGGCTTATGTATATCTTTAAATATACTGAAGATAATTTTTATCTAAGGTGATAGTCTTATCTTCTCAATCTTCTCAACAGCCATGAAGGTAAGTACATCCCCTCCATTCAAAACTGTGCCTCCCATCCCACACTATAAATTTATAGGCACTAAATGGAGCTCAGTAAATGTTTTGATGAGTAAGAGAGTTATTACAACAGCTTTGATTAAATTTAGAGCTATTTCTAATTGTTTGACAGTGTCATTTTTTGTTCTGTAGTGGCTCCCTAATTAGCCTTTGTTTCTAATAATTTTTAATAATTCTATTTGACTTCTAAAACATCTCAGTCCACCTCAGTTCAAAATGGACAAGGCATGGGGCTGTACCAGTTATTTCCGAGATAAAACTTTTCTTTATATCTTTCAAAGTGACTTCAAGAGTTTGCCATTTAAGTCTCTCATCTGATTACAGAATTATTTAAGTGTGATGGCTAATGAAAAAGTCAAAAGAAACAGCATAGCTACCGATTGTGAAGTCATGACTTTTTAAGAGACTGAGACAGCAAAAAAATTGCAGAAAAATTATTCTTTATTGAAAAATACCAATAATACTGACAGACTTCAAAAGCAGTTCACGCCTCCAGAATACAAAGTACTTAATACATTTTTTTCAAGCCTGTTTGCATTTCAAACAAAGCTAGCATTTTTGTAAATCAAATTTGATAACCTGACTAAATATATTTTCCAGCTTTATTATTTAAGGAGCTGTACAACCTCTGAAGTGGGGACCATGAGGTGGGCAGGAGCAGAGGGGCAGAATGCACCTGGGACTGCGCAGCAGTCTACAGCAATATTTCCCATAACTTTGGTGCTGGAAACAAAAATACTGTACAAGACAGCTGCCCTCCAGTGTCAGAGAATCTTGGGAAACAGCATATCAAAAGGTAGCCAGCTTTTCTTATAATTTACACACTTTCATTTAAGATTGCTTTTTGAAGAAAATCTTTAAGAATGCCACTGTAATTTAGTATCATCCAATAACTGAATTAAAAAACTGTATGAAAGAAATGAGCTGTTACCATCATAATGGTCTTTGCCGAGCTGTGAGTAATTTTAGGTGCAAAAAAAATTAACACATATGCAGGTTTAATTTGAAACCACAAAAATTATGTATGTAGGCTCAGATAGTAGCAGTGTTCACTTTATTACTAATAGCTTAACTGGAACAGCCACTCTATTCATTCCACCAGCAGGAATAGCAGCACCAATATCTAAAATCCTTTATGTATCAATATAAAAGCTTACATCATTATCAAAGTCCCATTCTTTGCATGCTCCAATTCTTGTTATTTTTTAACATAAAAGCAACAGGATTTTGAGAGTTACTATTTGCTGTATTAAAAGTTATACAGCATCTTGTACTGTCAAAAAGCAAAATACTGTGAACAGCAGCCCTTCTTCACAGCTCTAAACTTGAAGCTGCCAAGCACTCACTGCTTGTGCCAGCAGTGGCATTTCCACAGTAAAATAGCAGAAACTAAAGGAATCATGGCACAATGGATTTCTGAATTCTTTTATCTACCATTGGTCCTGGGGCTTAGTACCTTCCCCTTGTAGGACAATATCTGCTGATCGTTCATCTTCTTTAATGGAGGAAAGGCATCAGGTCATATAGCGAGTAATGGCTCTCAGAGCATAAAGGAGTTCTGCTTGCATCCTAGCTTCTATAAGAAGCAGATTAACGTGAACCTGAATATAAGACACATTATCATTTAAGATAGGATATATGTATACATATAACTGATTCACTTTCTTATACAGCAGAAACTAACACAACACTGTAAAGCAATTATACTCCAATAAAGATGCAAAAAAAAAAGAGATAGGGTTATAAGCATTCACAGTCAGTTTCAGTGCATCTAATAAACACCAGAAATGTTTTCTGTGTGCCACTGAATAACATCAGTTTCTCAAAACAAAAGCTGTCTGATCTTCTTTGGATAGATGTTTTGAGCTTGTATTTATATTCGATCACATCTCTTCTTGAAGGTTTGTTAGAATAACAACTTCCCTGCCAAATCATCATTCACAAACACTCTCTTCTTTCTCTTAAGCAGTTACAGTGATGCCAGCACTCTGAGGAGAGGCCAGCACACTGGTTCTCCCTGTCTTTATTCTTTTACTTTAAACCATAATGAGGTTCTCCCTTCCAAGGGGTATGTGAGACAGCTGATCTGGAATGTTCTTATCTGGGCTGGTAGAAGTGATGGAAGGGGTTTGAGACCCATTAGATTAGGTGAAGGAGAATAAGGATCACTGCTAAGTTAGAGTAAACACAATAGGTACTTACCTTCTCAGAGTGCTTGAACTGCCTCCAGAAGCTATCATACATTCTTTTGGTAACCTTTTCAGGAGTGCAAACAACAGTTTTGATATAAACTTTAAAGCTACGATCCAATAGCTGGTTAATTTCACCATAGTCATAGTCATCATATCTGTTAAAAGATAATGTGAGAATTTTATGTATAGTCTGTTTTATTCTTATGGAAGTACAGACATCAATAGTAAATGCTGTATTCTTTCCCCCTCTTTGTGTAGGTAGCTATCCCCCAAAATGACAGCTTTACAATTTTTACGTTTCATTGGGGGTGGATGAATGAGTATAAAGGGGTAAGAAACAGAAGTCAGACGAACAAAAAAATTGCCAGTGCCCAAGCAACAGTATATTTACAATCATGAATAAGCAACCACACTGAGGAACAAATTCTGGAAACAAAGTTTGAGTATTGCTGATATTAAAAAAATTAACAAATTAATCAGACAATAATACTTATTGATACTATTACATGATATATCAATTATAATCTATTTGTGTAAATAAATTTTTTTTCTTATGTTTCCAGGAGTTCTTGGGGTCAGATGAGGAAAAAAGGGGGAGAGGTGTCTGAGAGGAAAGAATCAGTCTCTAGATGGCTTCACAGTGTCTACACTTGGGAAAGGCTAAGCCAAGATGGTCGTAGGCACCAATGTCTCCTCTGCCGCACTGGCAGATAGTGCCTAGAACTGAAGTCTCCTAATTGGTTTTTAGTAGAAAAGGAAGAAAGCGGGTCCTGTATAACCATTCAGGAGTCTAAAGTCATAGCCTGGCTACTGATAAAGTGAAGAAGCAAGAGAAAGTGTGACTTTACAGCTAAAATAATCAGAAAGTACCACAGCATGGTTGTTTATGTATGTTAGAAGGTGGTTTATGATGGCTGTGTTTAAATGTGGCTGAATACCTAACAGGATATGAAAGTTTTGTATTTTGATGAAATATCATGGGAGTAGGTACTCTTTAGAAGGGTACTGTAAGAGTTCTAAGTTCCATGAAGGTAGAAGTATGAGTGTGTCAGGAGATAAAAGATGATACAAAGGGAAAAGATACCATAAATGTTCAGAGACAAACTTTGCCTCTTCCTCTATGCTCTTGGGCCAGCTTGCTTGCTCTCCTCTTCCCTGGAGGCATCTGTTATTTAACTCTTGTCAGCATTCCTAACTCTCCCTCCTGCTTAGCTAGGCAAGAGAAAACACACCAAGCTGCAAAAAATCAAGTTTTTGAAGCACAAAATGCATAAAAATAAGCTATTGGGGAGGGGATGGTTTTGAGTATGTTAACGTAGGTCTGTGTGCATATGTGTTCCAAGCACCTGAATAATTTAGGCTAAAGGAAAATACCTCTTCATAAACATAAGAAAACAGACTAACCTTATTCCAAACATGCAGTGAATATAGTTCCAAATAGCCCGTCTTAGCATTGAGGTATCAACATCTTTGTGCATTGCCATTGTATTATAAGTAAGATTGTAAGCAATGTGAAATTTTTCATCGATCAACTGTCCTACATCTGGATAAAGACGATTTACCAAAGAATAACCATGGTCTTCCCAACAATAGTCCTAAATACAGAGAACAGAACAAATGTGAATAATTAAAACGTGGCCAACTATAGTTCTATGTCTGTCGCTCTTCGGTGCAGTGAAATTACTGGCAGCTGAAATCCACTGCCTTTCTAGTACATCCCTAGCTCTCAGTTTCACTTGCATTCCAGTTTGATGTTTTCAATTTCTATACTGCAACATGCAAAAGTTACATTTTGAACTCAGCGAGTTTAAAAACCAGTGGAATCTCTTCCCCTTACACACAGGTCACCCATATTCAGCTTTCTCTCACTGTTTCCCCCGTCAGCCTCCAGAGATGACCCATCTTGGGAGGCCACTCTCCTTTTCTATTGCTGCAGGCATTCAAATGGTCCTCAAACTTTGTAAATTTTTAATTCAAGGTATCCATCATTCATTCTTTTTCCTCCTACCCACCTCTGATTCTCAGCCCTATTAATTGTGTCTCCTAATTAGTTTTCCCAAATTAAAGTCTCCCTGCTTCCTTTCTTTCCATCTCAAGCAAAACTTAATAACCTCCCACTTCAATGTTACTACCATATTTATTTTCCTAAAACACCTCTTTGATATTATGCCATCACTATGGTCAAAACCTACAAATCTGATCATCACCTACAAATCTGATCAATTTTAAACTAACTTCCCACTTATCCTTTGCTTGAAGGTCTTAGCAGCCCAGTCAGTTTATGATCCCTTCCCTCAACCTATGCTCAGTTATTGCCTACAGTCTCCTCTGCTTACAATGCCCATGCTTTTAAACCATTCAAATCTCTCAAATCCTAATCTCCCTCCATAAAATTTTCCAGTCCACATGATCCCTTCAATTGTAATCTTTTATATTTCATGATACAACTTCACTATTGAGTAAAATATTCTATAATTCTTCCTTGTGCCTAATTCTGTCTCCTTAAACAATATGTTAGTTCCTTGAGCAAAGAAAAAAAATCATAGTTCTCAAATATTTTCATAATTCTGGTAGAAGAGTTATAATAGCCCCTGCACAATAATTGGGAAAGTTGGGAACACCAACTCATCTGAATTATATATTTACCTATCTAAATGAAATATATAACAGACTGTTTAAGAAAAACATTTAAACTACAGTATGTTTCTACTGACGGATTGGAAGCGGTCTTACAAAACTACAGCACAGAATAGATAAATGTTTGCTAATTGACGATTCTCAACTTTTATTCTGGAACTAGAAGATACAGCAATTGTTACTCCTGAGATATACTTGCAAAGCACTTAGCACAGTGCTTCCTGCCAAAGTGAAAACAGAGAAGGACCCTGGTATCCTGGAGGACAACGAGGTCCCTAAGTTTCCATGGACTCAGTATATACAGAATTGTACTGGGAAGTTTTACTGTGTATTTCAAAGTTAATGATTATGGAGCTAAACAAACTGGGTCTACCAACAATAATTCTACTCCTTACCCTAGGAACTTTATTTATTCTAAGAGATGGGTGCTAAGTAATTTTGGAATAAGATTTATTTATGTGAATCCTCTTTAAGCTTTAAATTTGAAACCTTTAAAAATTCTCATTGCTTCAAATGACATTCAGTTCATATTTTAAAGGGAATTAGGTTATTGTAATCATGGTTTATTTTCTATGGTATCTGTAAAAACTCACCCAAATTAAAAAAGAAAACAAAAAATCTGCTTTCCCTATAAGTCCTAATTTAAGCAAATCTTTCACTCTTTCTCATCCTCTTTCCCTTCACCCCCACACACATAATGCCTGAGATGCTGTGAGGACATTTCTCTTGTCACTCAGGCCTGGTGCATATCAGGGCAGAAATCGCCTCACTTTAACACTGGGGCTCAGTAAAACAGTGCTATAAAAGCAAGCTAGGTTCAAACACAACTATTATTTATTGTTTCGTCATAGTAGGAACTTTAATTGGGTTTCTGCATACCATCTCTGGGAACCTAACCACTATTGTAATTTTGCTTTATGGGTGAATGTGTTTTGAATTCTGAGCAACTGATTTATGAACTTTAACAATATAATAAACATACCTAAGGGAATTACGTGTACGTAGAAAAGTTATTTTTCTCTGCATTGCTTTCTGTTCTCAAATCCAGATGGCTCTTTCTTATTTTAAGTCAGATTGAGGTATTTCTAATTGAGCATGTACATAAAACAAGTTGTCATTTTACCTGGACTCGAAATGTTGGGACGTGCATTCCATGTCTAGAGAAATCCTTATAGCCATAACTAGTATCCTCAAAGTGACGAGATACATCTCTTGCTGGTGTAACTTCTTCATCATCTGAAATAATTTAAAAAAAAAAAACACTGAAAGCCTTTCAAAAACAGGATGCTAGTTAAAATTCATTTTACCTATAACAAGTAAAAACAGGATTACCCTTTCTCTGACACTGAGTAACCAATATCAACTAAAATAAAGTCTTAAAACTGTAAAGAGAAATAGCCTACTTACTAATAAATGGAATATAATAAAAGTAGATTCTGTTATTAAAAAAATACTCATGGTTAATTTTCTGTTTTTAATTCCTCTCTTTCACAGATCCTCTCTCCCTCTGTGTCCCGACTGTAGTTTATAGATACTAGGTTCTACTGAAAAGTATGTACTCCAAGTATGAACACCCTTTTGAATAATCTTTATGGTGATAACAAATATAAACTTTAAACTTTATGCTCTAAACTTTAGCATTTGGACTATTTTTAATGTCACACAATATATAAAATGATCTCTTTAACAGCTCAAAGGTCCTAGAAACAATTCTAAAATGATGAACAAAGGAAAGAGGTTCTGTGTGTCACTGTTTTTACAATGTTTCCTGCACTGCTTCTAAGCCTTTTCAGATTATCTTCATGTTTAGGGGTCGATGAGATTATAGTTTCAAGTAAATAAAATCAAAGACTTCTCCTCAAGCTAACATCCAACCTCCATTTTTACAAATTTGATTTTTTTCTTTGCTATTAAGAAACTTGCTTTTAACATATACTCTTTGTCCCACTCTATTATTGTCAAAATACACTGACACACTTTATTAACTTTTTTCCTTTAAATTATCTGGTTTACATATTAAATCCTATAGCCTATATTTGATAAAGGCCAAACATAAAGGATTTACGTTGTTGTTAGTTATCTAAGAAGTAGCTCCTTTTCACAAATCATAGAATTTTAAAGCTGGAAGCAATCTCAGGCCTTTATGAATGCAATTTCCTCATTTTAAAGAAGAGGAAAAAAAGCACTCAATGTTAAATGACTTATATTCACAAAGTTTATTAGCAGTGATTTTAGTATTAGAACCCAAATCAAATGTCCTCTCTCTTAGTCTAGTGCTGTTTTCACTATAACTTCCTTTTCTACCTATGCAATAACCTTTCTAAAAGGAAAGCCATATTTGGATTAAACTTAAAAGCTTTTGCACAGCAAAGATAACCCACAGAATGGGAGAAAATATTTGCAAACGAAGCAACTGACAAAGAATTAATCTCCAAAATATACAAACAGCTCATGCAGCTCAGTATCAAAAAAACAACCCAATCCAAAAATGGGCAGATCTAAATAGAGATTTCTCCAAAGAAGGCATACAGATGGCCAAAAAGCACATGAAAATATGCTCAACATCACTAATTATTAGAGAAATGCAAATCAAAACTACAATGAGATATCACCTCACACTGGTCAGAATGGCCATCATCTTATCTCAAAGAGTAAATGCTACAGCTGTTGCTGGGAATGTAAACTGGTTCAGCCACTATGGAGAACAGTATGGAGGTTCCTTAAAAAACTAAAAATAGAGTTAACCATCTGATCCAGCAACACTACTCCTGGGCATATATATGGAGAAAACCATAATTTGAAAATACATGCACCCCAATGTTCATTACAGCAGTATTTACAATAGCCAAGATATGGAAGCAACCTAAATGTCCATCAATAGAGGAGTGAATAAAGAAGATGTGGTACATATATACAGTGGAATGTTACTCAGCCATAAAAAGGAACAAAATAATGTCATTTGCCACAACATGAATGGACCTGGAGATTATCATGTTAAGTGAAGTTAAGTCAGACAGAGAAAGACAAATACCATATGTCGCCGCTTACATGTAGACTCTAAAAAAAGTGGTACAAATGAACTTATTTACAAAACAGAAATAGAGTCACAGATGTAGAAAACAAATCTATGGTTACTGGGGGGAAAAGGGGGGAGGGATAAACTGGGAGATTGGAATTGACATATACACACTACTATATACAAAATAGATAACTAAGAAGGACCTACTGTATGGCACAGGGAACTCTACTCAATACTCTGTAATGACCTATATGGGAAAAAAAATCTGAAAAAACAGTGGATATATGTATAACAGATTCACTTTGCTGTACACTTGAAACTAATACAACATTGTAATCAACTATATTCCAATAAAAAAGGATACTTTTATTTAAATTCTCTTAAAAAACAGACATTTTATTGACTATGTAATGGTTGCTTTTACCTGAAGAGAAGACAAACATGCTCTCTCTTTTTTCTATTTCAAAACGTGAAGCCATCTCTTCCTGACTTGCCTCTTCTTCATCTCGACATTCCTGTAACTGCTTCATCTTTTCCATGAGGGCTTCGACCTCAAAGAAGGAATCACTTACCTGAAAAGAAAGTGCAATTAAGGTTACATATGTCAAACACGGAATGAAACTTTTGAATTTTATTAAGTCTGTTTCATAAGAATTTGCATCTTAATACAATATAAGAAAAGATCTTCTTATAATTTTAATGCACATGGATGAATCAAAAACAATTATTTGGGGCTTCCCTGGTGGCGCAGTGGTTGAGAGTCCGCCTGCCGATGCAGGGGACATGGGTTCGTGCCCCGGTCCGGGAAGATCCCACGTGCCGCAGAGCGGCTGGGCCCGTGAGCCATGGCCGCTGAGCCTGCGCGTCCGGAGCCTGTGCTCCAGAACGGGAGAGGCCACAACGGTGAGAGGCCCGCATACCGCAAAAACAAAAAAACAACAATTATTTGGCCTATTATATATACAGATATTTAAATTTTAAAATATAAGAGAAAAATGATTTTAAGAACACATTCTAATGTTTTACCTTTTATTACTAAAATTAGTAATAATATTACTATCAATGCTAAATTTTAAAAATTTAACACTACTTGTCGATTTAAAACAGAACTGAATATTTAAGAGTTAAGCTTTTACTTGCTCAATCAGTTAAATAAGGTACACAAAGTATAAGTGCTTTTGCATCAACTGTGTACACTGGGCATGTTGTCAATAGACAGGCATACCTCAGGTACATTGTGGGTTCAGTTCCACACCACTGCAACAAAGCGAGTCATGAATTGTTTGGTTTTCCAGTGTATATAAAAGTTATGTTTAGGGACTTCCCTGGTGGCACAGTGGTTAAAAATCTGCCTGCCAGTGCAGGGGACACGGGTTCGAGCCCTGGTCTGGGAAGATCCCACATGCTGTGGAGCAACTAAGCCCGTGCGCCTCAACAACTGAGCCTCTGCTCTAGAGCCCACGAGCCACAACTGCTGAAGCCCGTGCGCCTAGAGCCTGTGTTCTGCAACAAGAGAAGCCACCTCAACAAGAAGCCCGCACACTGCAACCAAGAGTAGCCCCCGCTCGCTGCAACTAGAGAAAGCCTGCGCGCAGCAACGAAGACCCAATGCAGCCAAAAATACACTGTACTGTACTGTACATTATACTGTATACTGTACTATACTATACACTATACTGTTTATACTGTAGGCTATTAAGTGTGCAATAGCATTATGTCTAAAAAAACAAGGTACATACCTTAATTTAAAAATATTTATTGCTAAAAAATGCTCAACACCTGGGAACAGGGAGCTTATCTACTAGGGAAGTTTTTAAAAATTCTATTATTTCACTATTATCTCATTTAATAAAGGGATAACTAGGAACAGTACTTTTTCTTTAGCCTTGTACTAAATCAAAGGTGGGGAAGGACAACAATCCAACTCTAAGCATCCTAGCAACTGATGTACTCTCCCTTAGACCATCTCATAACCTTTAAGCTTTGATAAATAATCAGTGGCCATATGCAGGCCTCCAACAACAATCCAGATAGCTCAACAGAGGGTGGAACTGATGGTCTTGGGCGTTGCCAGCACAGCACAGTGATCAACCTTGGGAACATGATTTTCCCTCCTGTGCTAATCTCACCATATGTAAATGCTACCTCTTATTTAGTACCTGATAAATGCCAAGCACTGTACTAGGCCTTTTAACCTCTTTTTTTTTTTTTTTTTTTTTTTTTGCCTTTTACCTCTTTAGAGACATTTCATTTAAACTTTACAATAACCTTGTGTTTGACCTTCATTTAGAAATGAAAGAATTGGAGGCTCAGAGAGGTTAGATAACTTGCCCACAGTCAAATATACATTAACAGTCAAATACACGTTAAAGTCAAATATATAAATTTAACCTGTCCAAATCTGTTTAAAATAATACAACTGAGAAAATCTGTGCAAAGTATTCAGAAGACTGTAATGTTGTTTCTCTGATTTCAATTTGGAAATATAAACCCTTTTCTCTTTCACTACAGCTAAAGAATGCAGAGGGAATTTTGACTCATCATATATAGAATTCAAATTTGCTTATAGAAAATTCAACTCATTCTGATCTGTTTCAAAGGAATAACATAACTGAGAAAATATAAAAGCCAGAGAAGAGAAGGAATAGAGATAAAAGCATTTTAATAAATTTACATTCACTTTTATATATATTTGTGAGAAGTTAAAACATGAAGTATTTTAAAAGGAGAAATTCCAGATCAAGGCTGATTAAATCTTCTAAAAAGTAATTAAGAAGACAGCCTGTTTCTTCTGTGCAAAAGGATGTGATCAGCATCAGGAAGTTTCTACCACCAAGTTCCACTGTTCTCAGTCTCCCCTCATCTCACTCAGTAGCTGTTCAATACCAGATGGCTCTGATGGGGCACATTGCTGGTGGCTTCTGATCCTAAAATTATTCAAATGTAACCTCCTAGAGGGTCTTATAATTTTGTATGTCCCTTAGCATCAGACTAGTGCTGAGCATTTGGAGGCAGACAATAAATACTTGCTGAATGAACAGGTATGGGGGCCTAATATCTTTTTGGACTTAATAGGGTAGATTTTCTTAAAAGCCAAATGAAAAAATAATATAACAGCAATTACTGTGATTACTCTTAGGATGATCCTATAATAAATAATAGATACTTACCGAAACATTTCCTGCTGAATTGACCTGCATCTCATCCACACTGTGATTGCCATTTGTAATGTCACAGATGCAGTAGTTACTAACAGAAGGAGGTCTGAATGTGTGGCCACCATCACAATGAATTTCTGGACTGATTCCACAGCCAAATGTGAACGAGGCAAGAGAATGATAGTGTGTAAGTAGAACTACTGCATGTACCAGTTCTGCAAGGGACCAGCTGTGCTCTTCAGCTTTCAAAAGTCCCTTGGGAAAAAAAACGAGAACATTTTTATGCTGGGGTATGGTATTGATGAAAGAATACAGTTCATCTTGGTATTTAACCTACTGAAAACAGGATTAGTTACTATATAAAACTTAAGATAAAATTACAATTTGAGGCATGTAGAACCCAGAATTTGCTAATTTTTATGAATATGTATTCACAAATAGAGCTTAAGATAAACTGATAACGACACATTCATTATTATTTTGACTTTCTGAAATCCTGATTTAAAAATGTAGAATACATTTTGTTTAAAAGCAGTTGCCATATCTCAGATGATGGATTATGAATGCATTAACTATGTTGTTAGTGCAGTCTCAAACCAAATGTAATGAATTTGTGTTTAAAGTAGAAGCTACTGTGTAAAATACGCCTGTTTTTCTTTATTATCAGGCCTCCTCAAGGAATTTTTAAAAAGTGGTTTGAACAGCTTGACTCTGAATATTCTTAAATCATCAAATTATATTTATTTTAAAAATTATGCTCAAGGTAAAGTCTACAGTTCTTCAAAGTCTTACAAATCTGTGTCCATTCTGCTTCATTATCTATTTTATAATATGTAATTTTATATTACTAGACAATGTAACAGACATTGCATTAATCATATTCAAATCTTGTATCTCCTTGATAAAAAGATGCTTCAATTACATAAAAGAATCTAAAATATTCTAGGGAATTCCCTGGAGGTTCAGTGGTCAGGTCTCTGCACTTCCACTGCAGGGGGCATGGGTTCCATCCCTGGTCAGGAAACTAAGATCCCACAAGCCTTGAGGCATGGGCAATAAATAAATAAATAAATATTCTAAAAAAAGAGAAAGACAACACCAAAAATATATTGTATTTTTAAGAATTTCTACTGCATGGTAGATTCTTTTAGAGAATGTCCATCTACTTTTATTCTATTATCTTTATTAATAAATAGAACCAGACAAAACTAGTTTAAAATGGTATTTTAAAAAGATAACACAACAAGATGCCACTTTACATCTATCAGAATGGCTAAAATCCAGAACACTGATAACAACAAATACTGACAAGGATGTGGAGCAACAGGAATGCTCATCCATTGCTCATGGGAACACAAACTGGTATAGCCACTTTGGATGACAGTTTCTTACAAAGCTAATAAACACAAGCTTATCATACGATCCAGCAATCACACTCCTAGTTATTTACCCAACTGAGTTGAACACTTATGTCCACCAAAAAGCCTATATGTGAATGTTTGTAGAAGCTTTATTCATAATTGCCAAAAACTGGAAGTAACCAAGATGTCCTTCAATAGATGAATGGATAAACTGAGGTACATCCATACATGTATTTTTCAGCAATAAAAAATGAGCTACCAAGCCATGAAAAACCATGGAGAAACCTTAAATGCATACTGACAAGCTAGTCTGAAAGGGCTATATACTGTGTGATGCCAACTATATGACAGTCTGGAAAAGGTAAAACCATAAAGACTGTAAAAAAAGAGCAGTAGTTTCAGGGGGAAGGGGAGAGAGATGAATAGAGGGAGCATAGGAGATTTTGAGAGAAGTGAAACTATTCTTTATGATACCATAATGGTGGATAACACGACATTATGCAGTTGTCAAAACCCATAGAACTGTACAACACAAAGAGTGAACCCCAATGTAAATTAGACATTATTAATTCATCAGTTACAGCAAATGTACTATACTAATACTAGATGTTAGTAATAGAGAAACTATGTGTGTGTGGGCGGGGGGTGGTGGATGGTTGACGGGGGTAGAATATGGGAACTCTACTTTCTGTGCCATTTTTCTGTAAACCTAAAACTGCTCTAAAAATTAGTCTAATTTTTTTTTTTAATGACACCCTAGATATATTCTCTACTTACCTCAATATGTTCTTTGGTAATAAGCCAAGGTCTATGGGCTAACACTTTGTTAAGTTCTCCTAAATTCTGTAGTTTTTGAGGAGCATTCTCTAAACCATTAAGCCACTTGGGGTCTCCACCAACATGAAGGAAATCGTTTACATGGAGATTCACTAAGTAGGAGCACTGATGTCTTGCTGCAGCCTTAAGAGAAAACAAAAAGATTATTCTAATTACACATATTAAAATCTTGAACAACTACAAATCTTTTTCTTTACAATATGCAAAACAGCTAATTAAGTTTTTGATTAGTATGTTTTCAAATTTTCCATATACTACAGAAATGAAGTTTTCATATAAACATTTAAAAATTCATACACTATAGAAAGCACCTCAAAAATATCCCAAGAACAAATAAAATATCTGATCAAAGTATCTGAACTTTAGAAAAATTTTATACCTACTGTCAGAACCTCAGATTAAGAAGAAACTTCAATTAAGGTGCCAACCATAAAACAATGGAATATTATTTATAAATTGAACATGAGTACCACCACTTATGTCAATCTGAACTATCAGTGAAATAATCTTGTGTTCTACTTTATTCTCGTATTTAATAGAAAATGGTTCTCAACAGAGTGTAAATACATATTTCTTTTTCTGTTATATTTGACAGTGTACTTATTTAGAAAGAGGAAAAATAGATACTACCTAACAGGAATTCGATTAGAAGTTAGAATATAAGTATTTATTCCTGTGTTTGAAGCATTAACCATCTCTTAAAAAGATTAATAAAGCAGGCAGAAAGAATTTTTCACTGAATGTTTACAAACCATTATTCCAATGTAGTGCCGATAATGTAGGGGTAATGGCCCATCCATTTGCAGTAGATAGTGTTGAGTTTTTAAGAAACTTTCTAAATATTGTGGGTGAAAAACCATCACTAAGGTAATATTATCCAAACGACCCAAAGCAGCAAAAGAATCTGCAAATAAAGTATGCATCTGTGCGTCTTCACTCCCCACTTGGAGAATCTGTATGAAAGAGAGGAAAACCATGGTTTCAGAAATTGTAAATTGGTGTAAAAGAAAGAAAACATGCAGGGGAAGGAAAAAAAAAAGGAATATGCATGCACTGCACTCTAAGTGTCACCTAGAAGCAGATTAAATTTGGCTTAAAGAGAGGTTATAATTCTACAAATTTAACTCAACTTGTTGCAAGATAGCAGAATAAAGAGTCACATATCATGTAGTAGGGGAAAAACAACAAAGGCCGGACATTAAAGGCCATCTAGATAGGCTGCTTGCAGACTTGACCAGAATCCAGACATCCAGAGCTAAATCCAGAACCCAGATTTAGATTATCAAATTTGCAGAGCTTGCAAACAGACCCTAATGCCTTTCCTTTTAACAACACCTACTCTCCCTCAATTTACAGAGAACCAAAATTAACTAACAGTAAACAATCCCTGTGAAAACAAAGTATAGGAGCATTTACATATTTAGAATTAAAGATCCAATCTAGCATTGATACCAGCCTGTGGAGTTGGCCAAGACCAAGTAACTCGGCTTATGGGCACACCTAAGCAACATCTAAATATAAGCAGGTGGCATATCATTGGCCAGAAAAAAGTCTTGCCTTTGCTTGATTAAATATGGGTGTTAGAAAAGCATCATGAAATACTAGAAATCAACATGACTATAACAGCTTTTTAATCCCACATATTCACTGCCAAAACATGATGATTAACTTGTGTAGAGCATATTGTTGACCAACAACTTGTTCAGATGCGAAGATGTGGGTCATGAAAGCTTTTCCTTAAAAGCATACAGTTCACTATGTACTTTCACAAACAACATACCTCCTTTTCTGGGATGAATCTGCTTGGTCCGTGTCCTAGTGGTCGAGGAATTCTAATTCCAAGTTCCTAGAAAAGAAAACTACACCATCTCAGGCCTCCAGCAGTAAACAACATGAACTGAGGCCACAGGAATGGGAGAGAAAAACAGCCAGTTGAACAGAGACTGGCTTGTTCTGGTGATTTATTTTCATGGCCATATATATATACCAGATCCTCTGTTTGCATCACATAGCTGACAACAGTTTATAATACAACTCTGACTAAAAACAATAAAACCTGTTTCACTAAAACCAGAGTTTTGCATAAAGTACTTGGCAGAAAGTCTAGAACAGAAAGTTCAGCACATAGCAGCCAACCCTGTGGATTGTCAGTGATACAAAATAAGACCAATGTGTTTGTACATCCAAAACCCAACCAACCAAAATATCAATCCCTGTGCATCTTGTCAGGAAATGAAAAAGCCATAACCTCTACCTAGATGTCTTAAACTGAAAGAAGTATAATTATTACTACATCTATAATAACACTTCACAAGAACAGAAATACTATGAAAAATAAAAAAGCTATTTAAATCCACAAAAGAGAAAGTAGTACAGGGCATGGTTTCTCTGTGCTTGAGTAAAACAATTTTAGAGAAATTAATTTTGTTTGTGAGTTTTCCTTAAATTTTTAATTTATAGGATCTCATCAACTTTGCTTATATTATATTTTAGAGGAGCTCAACTAATTAAAATATAAATGGTTTTCTGCCTTTTGACATAGTGAACCTAGAATTCTATACTTTATGTGACAGTGTAGTGTGGTTAACAAAAACTGACAATCTACTGTTAGGCTTCCATCTTTTCCCTCAATACAGTGTGCTAATAGAAATAAAACCAAAATGTAATTCAGACTTTTTTTTTTCTTTTTGAGGCTCATGTCCTATCACTCTAGTCTCTAAACAAAAAACCCCCTCCTTCTTTAACAACTAAATATTAACCCTTGCTTATATAATTACATACAAATATTATTTCTACCCTCTCTCTACTGCTTCCAAAAGTCCTTCATGATATAAACCAGATGCTTTCCTTTTAAAGGAAAAAAAGGGGGAGGGGGCAGTCAGAGAAGAACATGTGGCAACAATTCAAGAAATCTGGTCCAAGTGAATGAAAACCTTTTGAGCAGAATGGATTTTTAAAAATTAAGCAGGCAGGACAAAATTGAAGAGAATCTTAATTAGGAGAACTCAAGATTCAGATTCAAAGTAGGCTGGATTTGCCAACTAAATCTAAAATTTTATATATGTTTCAAATAATCTTGTATTGGAGGTCAGTGATTTCTTACTCTGATAATTCCACACTTATACTGAAGACAGTAATGTCTAATAACCATGCCCCCTCATTAGAGGAGGCACTAAATTCACTGGCCCAGCCATGTATGTGTCTCAGTTTTAATATCCTACAATAAATGCAAGGAAAAAACCCACATTCCTGCTATTCAATACATCATCTTGGCACAAATGCAGCCATTTATATAAAATGATGACTCTATTGGCCTTTCTGATTTAATTACATATATTTCTAACAAAATATATTGGGCAAGACTTTAAGGCTAAAAATCAATACCCCTTCTCAGTTCTTTACTATCTTATTTAAACAAAATGCATTTTAGCAAACACCCCATTTCAGGGGTTTATTATTCATTTTCTACCTAAGAGACACTATTCTTATGACTTTAGTATACAAAAGGTGGCATTTCAAAGGAGGAGAAATGGATTATTCAACAAATGATTTTGGTACAACTGGAGAGCCACTCAGAAAAAAGTGAAATTGGAGGCTTAAATCATACTTTACTCCACAATAAATAAGATATAAGTGTAAAAAACAAAAATAAAAAACATTACAGTATTAGAAGAAAATACCTGTGGACTTAGGTCTAAGAATGCCACAAAACCAGGAAATCATAAAATATAAGATTGATAAATTTGATGACATAAAAATAAAGACTTTCATATGGGAAAAATAAACATATAAAGTCAAAAGCAAACAGAAAACTTGGACATATATTTGCAACTCATACAGCAAAGGGCTAAATTTTTTTAATACATAAAGACAAATCACTAAGAAAACCCCCAACAACCTCACAGAAAAATGAACAAAGGACATGAACAGTTCAAAGAAAATGAAATATAAATGGCTGAAAAAATGATCAACCCTCACAATAAAACACTGAGATACAATTTTGCACCTAAAATACTGCTTAAGATCAAAAAGTTTGATGATAGGCTGTGTTGGAGAGGGGGTGGAGAAATAGCCATTCATTGCTTATACTTTCTGATGGGAGTGTTTTGAAGTGTGAGGAAAAAATATCAAGAAACATAAAAGGAGTATAAATTACTACAACCTCTAGGAGGGCAATCTGAAATACTGATCAATATTTAAAAGTTACATACCCTAATCAATAATTCCATCCTAAACATTACCCTATACTCACATTTCTAAAATGTCATGTGTAAAAGTATAATCACTGCAACATTGTTTCTAGTAGTACAAGATTTTATAAAGCAACCTAAGTGCTCATCAATAGAGTACTGTTTCAATAAAGTTTAGTATGATCATAGATTAGAATAGCATGAAGTCCTCACAAAGAATGAAGCAGTTCTATACAAGTTAGCTTTAAAAGATCTCCAAGATATATTATGTGGGGGGAAAAAGACAAAGTATATAATATGTATATATTATGTTACTATTTGTAAGGAAAGGGAAAAAAATTACCGATTCCATTTCTAGGACTTTATCCTACAAATACATTAGCAGCATGTGGATTGTGTATGTGTGTGTGTTTATTTTTTTAAAAATAAGACCAGATTCCTAGCACATGGGCCTCAAAACAAAGAGGTTGAAGTATATTGTTTTGGTTTTATTTCTATACCAAATAGATAGTTTATATATCAAACTTACAAAACAATAGCTTTACAGTTCCAAGAAAGTGACTATTAATGTTTCAGAAATGGAATATTTTCCTATAGGCATGCCAAAGGTCTTTCCCAATGGTCCTTTCTAATTCTCAAGTCTTTGAAAGTCTATCCCTGTAGCCAAATTTAGTGGCCATACTGGTATTACTGTCTCCCCTCTTCCTTGCCTTCAAAGGTCAAATCTTTCTTTTCCAGTTCCTTTAGAAATAGATTCTTTTATGTATTTTATGAAAAATTATGTGTTTTAAAACAGGATGTTAAGAAAAAGCAAACATTCTCAGGAACGGACTATAAACCTATTATGCTAAGAACCTCTTACTGTTAAGATCACATTCATTCCTTGGTGAGGTACCAGTCTAACAAAGCAGGGGACAGAATAGAAGAACTGAAGAAAGGAAAGGAATGGAACGGAGTCTCTGATATTTAAGACTCCAATTTCATTATTTTACTTATGGCTAGTTCTAGGTAAAATAGAATTTTATGAACTCTGAAACTGCATCCCAATTTATCCTAATCCAGATACTGTCAGGAAGCAGGTCATTGATTCCGTCTAGCCTTCCACAGCACACAAATTGAGCTCTTATGGGAAAAGGAAACAGGTGACAATTATCTTGAAAACAGCCAGGAAGTCTGGTTCTAGAGTTGGTGTCTTTAATTAATTACTCTCAAAAGCTCCTCTTTAAGAGCATTTGAGGGACTTCCCCGGTGGCGCAGTGGTTAAGAATCTGCCTCCCAATGCAGGGGACACGGGTTCGAGCCCGGTCTGGGACAATCCCACATGCCGCGGAGCAACTAAGCCCATGTGCCGCAGGTACTCAGCCTGCACTCTAGAGCCTGCAAGCCACAACTACTGAGCCCGCGTGCCACAACTACTGAAGCCCGCGCGCCTACAGCCCGTGCTCTGCAATGAGAAGCCACCATAATGAGAAGCCCATGCACCGCAACCAAGAGTAGCCACCACTCTCCGCAACCAGAGAAAGCCCGTGCACAGCAACGAAGACCCAATGCAGCCAAAAATGAATAAATGAGTAAATAAATTTTTTAAAAGAGCTTTTGATACTTAAAGGTCTTTTTAGATACCATTATTATTATATAATAGTATTCTTGATTTCTAAAGGGGTAAAAGTTTCAACTTTCTGGAAAACTCACTTTTGAAACACTTCCTAGTCACATGACAAATTAGTTGCTACCCTATTTTCTAGCAGGTATTGATTACAAAAAAAAAAATAAGGCACTGCAGGTCTTCAATGGTGTGATCATAAGCCAAACTAAGTGCACTTCATAACGTCCTAAAGGTTCCTTCAATTGTGCCTTCATATGTACCTGTAAGAAACTGAATTACAGACTTTGAACAAATTTTGGCCAATCTAAATTCAAGGAGGCAGAACTTGCCAACAGCAAATGGCCTTGTTGTGAAGCAGATGTAAATGCTAACCACAGCACAAACCTCACAGGCTCTTGGTGAAGGTGTGGCTGGGAAATCTAACATGGGAACTAACAGTCTTCTCTCAACAATCCTCCTAATCAGCATCTTTGAAGACATAGCAACAGCCTCTGCCATCACAACATTGCTGCAAATCTCTGACGCGATATCTGTTTCCTCTACAGTGTATACTAACACACTAATTTTCACAGTATGAAAATCCTCAGCAAATGTTGACAGCACCACAGAATGACTAATGTATGTAATGTATCACTGTATGAATCTGTGTTTATGAATTTACTGTTCTAATCAGATTTTTCAAATTTCTCAGATACATTTATGAATCCATATGAATATCTTTAACCAAAAAAATGAACAGTTTGCCACAAGTGCAAAATGAGAGCATTTGTTGGCTTACAGTGTCTATCTACATGCAAAACTAGTTGAAAAGTAAAAATGATTAGATCACTTCAATCATTTTATTTTTTCTCACTGCACTTGGTACATTATTAAACTGTCTAGATGTCTTAATACTGATAATCACAATAATATTAATTTTGATATTTTAAAAAATTACAAAAGCAGTTCTGTTTGAAACACATTTCAACAAGGCAAAAATATGCTGTGTAAAAAGTAAAAGTTCCCATCCCACTCCTCCTTATTTATGAGAATCATTACCTATAGCTGGGT